AGAACCCGACATACAATGACGATATATTTCGACGTAGATTTCGGATGCAAAGACCATTATTTCTTCGCATAGTTGAAGGTGTGAAGAATCACGATCGATACTTTGAAAGTGGTATCGATTGTATCGGTAGATCAAAACTATCATCTCTTCATAAATGTACTGCTGCGATATGAATGTTAGCATATGGTGTAGCTGTAGATGTCATTGATGAATATTTACGAATTGGTGAAACTACAACAATAAAATGTGTGAAGAAGTTTGTACGAGCTATTATTGCAGTGTTTGGGGACGAGTATTTACGAAGACCAAATGTCGCTGACCTTCAACGATTACTTTATATTGGGCACCAACGCGGTTTTCCAGGTAAGTTAGAAAGTACCAATTGTATCCATTGGGAGTGGAAAAATTGTCCTGTGACATGGCACGAACAATATGCTATAGGGATCATAAAACTTCAACTATTATGTTAGAAACAGTTGTTTCACAAGATTTGTGGATATGACATGCTTTTTTCGGGCTTCCAGGTACATTAAATGATATCAATGTGTTAGATCGATCTCCTATCTTCCACGAGGTCTTAAAAGGGAAAGCACCAAAGGTTAATTTCTCTATTAATGGTAACAACTATAGTTTATGATATTACCTTGCAGATGGAATCTACCCTAACTGAGTTACGTTTGTGAAGTCCATCTCATTGCCCCAAAGTCAAAAACATCAGCTATTTGCAAAAAAAAAAAAAAAATCGTCTAGAAACTATGTAGAAAGAACGTTTGGAGTATTACAATCACGATTTGCTATAGTTAGAAGTCCATCACGGATGTGGTTCAAGGATTTAATCGGAGAAATACTACGAGCTTGCATAATAATGCACAACATGATTGTGGAAAATGAACGTGACTCATACATTCGTCAATTTGATTTCACAGATGATGCTAATTTCAGTACATCTATGCCTCAAGTTTCTCGAAATCATCTTTCTAAGTATGAAAATTATCTTCGAAGTCATGCAAAAATATATAACAGGACTCATAACAATCAACTGCAAGCGGATTTGGTTGAAGAGATTTGGAGTCGATTTGAAGGATTAGAAAATAATGATTAATGTAATATTTTATTGGTATATATATAATATTTTTAATTCAATAAATGTTGTGTTTTGATATAATTTAATAAATTATATATCAAATTTAAAACAATAAATTATAAAACAAATAAATAATTATATGATAATATTATATCATATATTAATAGTTTATTTGAAATTAATGTTTATATTTTAATTAACATTGAATTAAAATAAAAAATAATATGTCATGTTATTAACTAAAAATAATTAGAATCTATATATAAATAATTTAAAAAATAGTTAATAAACATTATAATGGAGACTACTTTTGAAAGTGTAGGTGAATTACAAATATATGAAAGGTAATTACAAAAGCTAATGTGACACATTTAAATGTATAAATGAATTGCAGGTACGTGAATGACCTAATAGCAACCCCTTCTATAAGCACTGATGATGAGTTACATAATAAAAATAGTCATGATAAATAAAATATCGTGGACAAATTGATCACCTGTCAATTTTAAAAATATCTTTAGAAAAGTATATATTTTGGACAATATTTTATTTTTTTATTATAAATAAAATACCCCAGCCAAATGCTTATCATCGTTTGCCTATCCTCTCAAACAGAAAAAGAAAGCTTACGACTTAAACTCAAAAGCCATACTAATCAGAGTGCAAAAATACCCACTTGGCTTCAACCTGTAAACAAAAAACCCTTTCAATTTTTAGTGTCAAATTAAACCACAGCTTCCACATGCATGCATAATAAAGCCCGTTTTTGCTCTTTCTTATTAGCACCACCCTTCATCTGAGATTGATACTATGCGTGATGAAAAACAACTAGAAATTCAAGACCCCTATAAAAACGACCAAAAATAAAACTTCGTATATTTTGTGCTTTCCTGCATCACTGGCCGTCTGTCCGCCTCTCTCTCTCCCCCTCTTTCTCTCTCTTCCTAATTCACAATCTGCAGTTTACACTTGGGATGCCAGAACAACAAACAAAGAGATTACAATGTAACATGACGCAACTCCTTCTCTAACATCGACGTTCCCTTGAATATGGTCAGCTGGATGTCCCTCGAGTACTGGGAATACTGTATGCATAGAAGTTACATAAACCTTAGTTATCTAAGATGATATAAAAGTAAAATACAATTAAACTGTCATCAACTATTTATTTTGGGAAGGGCTCAGGTTGTAATAAGCCAATTCAGCAAGAAAACTATCTAAACCACCTCGCTTGTATCAAATATATTGGTTTAGGTCACCTCCACTGTCAAATAGAAGTTAGGCCTTGGACCTCCCCTCCATAGGTCACAAGTTCAAGTCACCTTAAGGCTACTGGGGATTTTCTTAGTTGTTATCTTAGGGACTCGTGAAATAAGTCACTGTTTTTTAATGCAATGCATTCGCAAGTACAGGGTTTTAAGGGTCTTGAAGAGCGCCAAACTCCTGTAGCAACCTCCCGGACGAAAGCAAGACACAGTTAGCATATCAAATATAGTATATAAGATAATATATAGTTCATTCAACATATACACCCTCTCCGTCCCATTAAATTTGCCAAGTTTGACTAGGTACATAAGAATAGTGTTCTGGCTATTTGTCATACCTAAAATACCCTTCAACCAAGAGAAAGTAAAAGAACCTTATGGACCCAAATCATTACCATCAGTTTGTTGGTGATGGTGATAATGGCAAATCAGTTGTTAACTTGTAAACTTCCCAGGAAAGAAAATGTTACTCACTCCTCCCCAAAATAAGTGGCCACTCTCAGAAGTAATTGTCTGCTTTCTAGTCCCTACCCTTAATTATGAGATAAATAAATTCATTACTATCTCCATCTTTAAGGGTAAAATTGCGATTTAGTTAATAAAAAAGTGTTAAGAATTACACATTTCCAAAATCGTGTGCCTTTTTCATGGGACATAAGAAGTAAACATCATTGCCACTTCAATCAACATTTAACGTCAATGGGAATGCTTTTGTGTTGTTTTTTGCCATGAAGACCAAAAAAGTACCAAAGACACAGAATAGACAAGGGCAGCATGTGTATATGAACACAAACCTAAATACTACCTACTGAAGCAAAAAAAAAATCTGCAATAACAGAGTCAAACGAACACTAGCCATAAGTGAAAGGTACACTCTTTCTCCAGAGGCCAAAGAAGACAAAATTCTAAAATAGTGAGCACTTCAATATACTAATATACGCAACTCTACTTGTTCTGTGTCTCCCTACCCCCTATTCATGCTATAACTTGTTCTCTAGTCTGCCTGGTATTCCTGTGGAATCAGAGGCTATTCACAACTTGACTAAAAAGAACTGCCATCTTTTTAACATCCCAATTCACGAATATAAGTTCTTGGTGGCAGTTTTCTTTGACCCCAGCAACAACATTCACAACAAAGTAAAATGCAAAGGGAATTAAAATATGTGATACATCATTATATTTGGCACTTACCCGCTCATCACTCATCTTTCTGAAACCCAATTTCTTAGTCCATATGGATTCAGCTTCCTCAGCAGCAGGAAGCACAAGAATTTCAACACCCAAGGACAGCAGTAACTCCTCAATGCAAAAAAAGAGGGCTTGGAAATATCCCTGCAGGCAAAGGAATATCATAAGTACGAATTCGTGAGCCATTTCTTATAGCATTCTAACAAACCTCAACAAAGCGACAAATAGGTAGAACAGAAACCACAAAGACAGAAACATAATGATGAACAATTACGCATAGGAAAAGATGTGGCCAATGGCACATTAAACATCAGCAGCAACTGGTCAGGAGTGCACTCACCTTTCCTTGGTGTTGTCTACTGGTAGCCACCAGGGGAAGCTCAGCAACTTCCCGTCCAAAAATTCTCAAGAGACCCGCAGATACAACTACCGACCTGCGCATGTATGTCAAAAAAACCAAAGTGTGGCAGGTGATTACATATAACTAGATAACAAAACGAAGACTCAAAAAATATGAATACCAAATAAAAATACATACCCCACCATCAGAACAACACAATAAATTCCTCCAAACTCTTGTCCAGATATATTTCTCCTGCAGTAGATACACGAATTACCTCAGGCAAAGAGCGTTGAAGCAAGTCATGATGTTATGATTCATGAAACCTTTATATTTAAACACTACGGCACCTTGTGCTACACAGCACACATAATTACTTATCAAATAAGAATAAAATAATGGAAGTATTCTCTTTTTTAAGTTAACCCTAAATGTCATATGCTTAAGCACTTAACTTTGAAAATTTGTCTAGTAAGGGAACAAATTTGTCTCCCCCGCCCCCAAACCAAAAAACCCACCACCCATGAATAACCAAAATGGTTACTTCTCAACTTCCAAATTGTTAGCCAACTGTAAACTCTTTATGAAGATAAATGATAAATAATAACAAGAAGAATTATCAACATTGTTACTGATGCTATCAACATTACTTTAAAAAACAAGTACGTTAAACTTTATAGCAAGTACTGCAAACTCAACAATGCTGGTTCAATTGACTTCCGTACTTGAAGAATTGTGAGATTTGAAGATACATGCGTCTTGCTTGTTTTGGGAAAGAAGGGAGCATGAACAATTATGGAAAGGTGAAGAATTAGTTTTATAAAACCATCATGAGTAATTGCAATACAGAACATACCTAGAGATGATAACCAAAACATAAGTTTGAAATTGCAAAAACAATTGAGTTGAAAGTGGAGCGAGCCAGATCAGAATTTTTTTGAATTTCAAGGGTAATAGTGACATTGCTAAAAGGGTCCAGTGTAGCCAAAGCCACCTCTGGCAACCCTCGAGCAAAATCATCAAAACAGCATAAAGCACAAGACAAACTTACCCATATACCATTACAGGTATTAGATCACGACCAGATTTTGCAACAATGGGATCAAAACACTCCTGCCAGATGGATACCGCATAATTTCAGTAAAAAAGATGATGACTTGGGAGCCAAAACATGGCAATGAAAAATAATTTAATAACAAAAGTGGAAGCAATATATGCAGCAATAGCACGGCATGGAAAAGCATCAACTCATTCAAATCAATATCAACTCTGAAGCCAGGCCATTTTCATTCAGTTAGTTTCTTATACAAGGAACTCTTTAAGATTTGAAACTTTGGTTTACCAAAAGTACACGCATTAACCTTTTTACTCTAATGAGGTTAAACTTTCAAACCCAATAAAACATAAATTTTAGTTTTCATTGTCAAACAGAAATCACAGCTTTGTTTACATTATAACAGAATGTAAAGAAAACAAAAAACCACAAGTGTCGGTAAGCAACATTAGCATTCATAGAGAGCATGATATAATTGGCCAAAAAAAACAAGCACTTTAACCTAACTAGTCGGAAAGGGCTATTTACACGAGAACAGCTAGATAGAATGCTGGCTCACAAAGCTTAATGCATGGCACCCTCCTTTATCTTGGACCAAGACACTATTTATCCCATTATCTTTTTATCAAGCCTGACTTCTCATATTGTGCTTTAGAGCTTTGCTTTTTGTCATGCAATGGCTTCTATGTTATTTATAGAAGCAGCTCTTCCAATCGCAAAATGCTAACAACCTTGTCGGGCAGGCATAAAACATAAGCGATGCAAAAGTTGACCATGTTTTGCTAAAACAATAATAACAAAATATAGAAGTTAGATAGCAACTAAAAAGATGAGCAACCATGCCATTAATGTTCAAAATCAACCAATGTGTTAATGTTATAGTAGTGAGAACTTCAACTGTAGAGCAGAATTTATTGGAAATCATATCACCTTATGAGAAGATGCACAGTCAAAAGATCATGACGGTTCAAGAAATTCAATTTCATGCACAGTAAACATAAACAACTAGCACAGATACTAGGCTTCTTATTTGTTGCTCTAGAAGATCATAAAATGGTTATTAGCGAAATGTGTATGCACTGGAAGGGAAGGTAAATAGGAAGAAGGGGATGTAGTACATGTCAGTAGGCAACTACGCATTTTAAATTTCAACAACTGCACAAAATAAAATTTGGGTAATGCAACTTAAAGGTGTGGTAGCACAACCTAGACAAAAGTTCCATATACTTGTACAAAGACAATACCAAATACCTAGATGTGATGCAAATTGGAAGTTTTAAGACATTCTCAAAATTTTAAGCCTTGTTTAGTATATTCTAATCTGGTACCATATTAAGCACATGTAAACAGCAAGAAGTTGCCAGCTAATACCTACTCTAGAAAAATACGTGCACAATAACAGAGCAGACCTATCTAAGGGCATACGGTGGCACGGGCCACTGCTTCACGGCTCCATTGTAATGGAAAAAGAAGTACATTCCTAAAGGGTGCTACTTTATCGTTTCGTTGAGTGCCCTTATATTTCTTGAAACTACAATAATGAGACAAGTTTCTCGTGGCATAGTTGGTTTGCATAGTTGCATGGCCTTTTCCCCCTTCCAGGTGCTGGTTTGAATCCAATGTTCACCAATTTTCCTATTCTAGTTTTTAGTTTCGGGTTTATCATGTTTTTGGAAAAAAAATTGGGATAGAAATCTATAAGACTAAACACGGGACACTGCATCCGCAAGGCAAGGAACAAACCAACAGACCAATAATTATTACGTGAAAATATCTATAGTCAAATGGTGCCACCACTAAGAAAATTGTTAGGTCCGCCTCTGCACAATAATCGACCCCGAAAAAGAGTGCACCATGGATGAACTGACTAGTATTATCCCTTAAAACTGATAATAACAAAGCCCTGTGGCCACTTAGCCACATGAGTCAACAAAATTGGACTCTAACATTGCATCTCTATAAACAACATAACAGTAAGGGGGAGATTGGTTGTGGATATTAGGGGATGGGGAATTGGAATGGGAATGATGATGAAAAAAGTAATATGGTAATATATAACATAATGGGCCCATTACCCAAACCTCTATAATACTCATTCCTGACCAAATTGGGGCAAATGAAAAGTCATTCTCATTCCCATTCCCTACCATCATATTCCCCTTGCCATTCCCTAAAATGAACCAAAGGCCCCCTAACTCTCATTGTGCATATGATCTGATTATCACCTCATTCTTTAAGACCATGATGTCTTCCGAGAATCCTTATAGCACAAAAGAAACATAGAGGAAAATTTGGATATTATGAGTGCTTCCAGTCCCAGCCTTTTTTATAGAGAACATAAACAGAACTACAAATGGTTAAAAAGAACACACCCGGAAAATGGCAGCAGCCCTTGACAGAAGTGGCAAATGTTCAGGATAGCGGCTTTTCCCACTCAGCATCCGCCATCGAATTTCATCCAGAGATCCATCAAATACTCCTTTCTCTATATGTTTCTTGTTTATCGTACTCAAAGCTAAACCCGAAATTCCAGCTGCTCCATTGGCAACCACTTCTTGGATAGCACCATGGATCATATCACAGTGATCGCAACAAAACCATTTATCTGATGGGAGTGCCTGGTTACAGCTTAACCATTACGGCCTACCTTTAGCAGCCTATAAATGGACCATTTTCAAATACAGCAAAGATTCTATAGCTTACCTTCAAATCGCATATCCCACTCTCTCTTAAACAACCAACATGGTACTCCTTCTCACACTAGGCAGCATGAAGAACAAATGTTATATAACAGAAGCAGAAAACACAAAGAAACAAGGTAGAGGATCATGCGTACTTGATCGCATAGCATTACTGTCCGATCATCAAATTCAGCAGTACTGAAATCATGGGCCCTGATAGAGAGACAAAACTGATTGGTAAATTTAACACAAACATATACAAGTGAAAACATTTGCAAGTAATATGCCTAAAAAATATGTCAAGACCTAAAGAATAGATCACGATAGAGCTATATAAGAGATAAAAATTAGTTATAAATAATTCGGACATTATTCAACATAAAGAATCATCCACATAATCACTGCTGCATTTCAACCACAGATTTTATGTACAAAATTTTATGCTAGTATACAGCAGTAAACCAGTTAACCAATCTAGATAGATTAAACCAACCAGTCTAGATAGTAGTTTGTTAAAAATCTGCCAGGTTACCTATCGGTTAAGAGAAACTTAATCGATCATATCAATTTAAGGAGACCATATTCACCTATAACTGAGTGTAATCATGGTTTTTTTAATACCTAAAAAGAATGTATTCCTGGTAAGAGAGTACAGATTAAGCAACATATAAATACTCCAACAAACTTGCAAGTGAGGTATTGTCGGATGGATTTATTCATATGGAGACATGTATGATAATACAGCATAATTAATTAGCTGCATTCATATGGCATATGGACCAGTGAAAGCTTCTGGGTATCACCGAGAGCCCCAATTTTAAAAAGACTAAACCAACTTCAAGAAACCCCCTCAACTATGATAGACATATATTCCTTTGAACATTATTGTTTTTTACCTACCAGTGTGACAACTCTCTACCTTGGAGTTCATGACACATTGACAACAAAAGCATCACCACAGACACACATACTATTTCCGTAACAAGCCACAACACTTGGACACCCTAGCCAATATAGCATGCCAAATACCATCTCTATTAGATATGAACATCATAAACATATTAACGTAAAAAGATTATGTCCAGCAGAAAAAAAATATAGATTTGAGCTGACATCACAAACCTGCAAATAACACAACCACCAGTTTCGTATTCTCGGGCTTTCACAACCCGGGTCAGTCGGATAAGAATGGGCCGGGACTCTGAAGCAGTTTTCCTACCGGAACCAATACTGTCTCTACAATACGGACAGTGCCAATCTTCAGAAGGAACACCCTCTTGTCCCAAACAAACTGCAAGCTAGAAGCTATATATATTAGTCCAACATTATTAAGTGGAGTATTTATGTGGGAATACATGGAAAAAAATTGAACAAGCACTGCTTGATGGCAATAAAGTAAGAGAAAAAATTTCACCTGATTTTGGATTCACTTTGTCTTAAACCATAGATACAATAATAGATGAAATAAAATCAGATCATACATCATTGTCATGGTAAGTCTCATACTTCAAGTTGATTCAGACTTAAGTATCATGTAAATGTCAGTCAAATGAAAATTCCAATTTCAATTGGTGCAGCTGATTGAAGACAAGACAAACAGATTAACAAGTGACTTCAACATGTTAAAAAAGAGAAATCCTGGCCATAAACCACCTTATGGCTATAAGTATGTGTGTACGCAGATTTCAAACAAGTGCACATAATTACTGTGAATACACAGATATGGAAAGAAAACTCGTGCAATATATATGTTTAGACACAATACAAAAACATGTGCTATCCAAGATATTAATTTGCATGCACATAAAAAGAGACATGCAAATAACAGTTTCTCAGTTCACATTTTAAGCATGAAGCATATGTTTATTAAAAAAAAATAACGTTAATATGAGATAGGAGATATATACATATCAATAATGCAATCTTGTAGACATCAACATAAGATATCAAATAAACTAGATTAATTATGAATGCATTATTATGAACAAATAAAGCTCCACCTGAATGGAAAGCATGCGGGCATCCATCACAAATAATCAATTCTCCTCTATCTCCACATACTGCACACATATCATCACTATTGCTGGTCGCAATACTTTGACCATTTGCAAGCAACAGAGCAATATCATGGAGTGTCACTCCATTAGAAATATAGATATGACGATAGCTGCAAATGAACAGGGCTATTAGATTAACACGGTGCATGCAAGAATCCTATTAGAATTCGTCCGGACACCACTCACGGTTGACGTTTGGCAGCCCATCCAGCATGAGCTTCAAATTGTGAAGGACTGATCTGTCAGAAGGTAGTAAACAAATGAATATAAAGAACAAGCATCCCCACACCATAAGGAAATAAAGAGTGGAGACTGAGTAATATGTGTAACGACTCAAGCAAGATAGTGATCAAGAGAAAACTCCTGATAACCAGGATATGGAATACAAATGGGAATGAGCAAGAATATAATGTTTTACCTCATTGTCACAATGGCTACAGACTATACCGTTCCCTTGCTTGTAGCCGTCAAGTATTTTCTGCAAAATTGTAGAAGTCTTGTGTAACAAACGATTATGCACAAAAAAATATAATATCTAATAGTCAGCTTAAACAATAGTCACCTTCCCTCTGGCATAATAAGCCAATTCAGTCCCATCTGGAAGTCCGTTTGGCATAAAAAGTAAACGGTGTAAATCATTATCCCTGTCATCATATAGAAGAGATTTTCTGAATAAAAATGTGAAGGCAAGATAGTAATACCAAAAAAGAACAATTGGCCCCTGCCATATGTGAGAGGGTGGGGAAATTAAAAGCAAAGTAAAGTTACATGCTTTGCATGCCCCATAACATGAAACCTAAGAAACTTTGCTTAGACCCTTGGACTTAACTATAGGATCGTACAAGTTACAGCACTGGATAAGTTCTTCAAAACACTACTCTGGTGAAAACAACCAGAGTGTCACAGCAGCCATCAGGTGACGACACAGGGATCCATATGTAAACATAGTATCTATTTAGTTACACTCAATGACTCCACCAGAATGGAGGGTACATGAAACTTTGAAACACATACAGGGAAAGCCAAAAACAACTACCTACCTTTTCTTATGGCCACCTTCAGCACTTCGCTTAGTTTCAACAGTTGCGCTAGGTGTGTATGATCTTGGCCTGCAAAATATATGTCAAATCAGCTGGAAGAGATATAGGTATGCAAAGAAAGGAATGATATCAAGAAACCTTCCATAGGGGGGATCTTTTTTACTCCTGTAGACTCCTTAGCAAATAGAAAGAAAAATGACCGAAGAATGAGTAGAGACTGTAGAGCCACCCAAATGTGCATTGCATGGACGCGTTCTTGGATCTTATGCAAGTGTGACATTAACTTTTTCTTTGTGGGCACATTGTACAAAAGATGATGTGCATATGTGTACATTTATACATATAACCGAAAAGAAGAAAGAGGGATCTAGTATAAGCGGTATAAGCAAGGGAAAGATGATTGACACAGAGAATGTACAGGGCACCATTCAACAGTATGTTGCATGATCTCATACAAATTGTATACTGCTCAGTGCCAATCTCTCTCCTCTTGCTTTAGGGATATATCCCTCACCTCCAACAGATCCTATGCATACATATATACATCTATGTGTAGACATAATGCATATATATATATATATATATATATGAAAGTGTTGCAATATGCATGCGTGCGTGTGTGAGAAAGAAAGAAAGAGAGCGAGAGACAGAGATGACAGAAGAAAAAATAATACAGAGAGCGTACTTCTTAAACAGGCATTTCCGCTCTTTTGTGGTCTCATTAACAAATGTTTGAGGTTCCATAGCAAAACTCTTACGGTAACAATAGTGGGGGCTAGAACCATCTTCGCTTGTGTGGCTGGTGCAGCTAAAAAAAAGGATAACAAAACTTTACTAAGTTGACAATCTATAAAATTCTCATTCCCATCTATAACAGTAATCAACGTCAAAAGCCACACATTTGCAAATGCCTTCCAGCAAGAAGTTGCTTAAGCTTGGACAACAAATAATACAAACTAATATCAATAAGACCAAAAAGGTTAAATATATAGACACCCATGTTTCCAGCTTTCAATTTGATCATTAAGAAATATTGCCAGAGAAATCATATATATGTGTGTACAACAAATAATACAAAGTCAAAAGCCACAAATTTGCAAATGCCTTCCAGCAAGAAGTTGCTTAAGTTTGGACAACAAATACTACAAACTATTATCAAAAAGACCAAAAAGTTAAATATTTAGACACCCATGTTTCCGGCCTTCAATTTGACCATCAGAAAACATTGCCAGAAAAATCATATATTTATATGTGTGTACGTATAAAGAGACATGAATCCAAATACCAAGCAATAAAAAGTCGTGCATAATTTATTTGTCAATTTAAATCTACTACAGTTTTCATGTCGCTAATAAATCAGTCTTTTCCTGGATAGTTTTCATTTACTTTGTATGGCGGTGACCTTATTTCATAGCCACTTGCTATTACGAGAAAAAAAAAAAGTATATGTAGTGCACCCACATATCTTTTCTACAGATGAAATTCTATTAGGTCAACTTGTTTACAGTACATCTATGCTTTTCAAAAGTCCCAAAAGAAATATTGAACTCTTGCAATCATTTGCATGTCATCTTTGAAATTTAAACTGTTTAGACATTAAAAAGCCACATCATAAATTTGTAAAGTACATAACATTCAATCATGCCATGAAATATGTACCACGATACTGCAAATATATCACCACACCTGTTCTTCCAATGTTGCAAGCCATAGATGCGGATCAGCTTAATCCGAGATTGTAATAAATTAAGCATCACCATTCACACCCATATATAATATTAAGGTTGTGCATTAAATACAAATATTTAAAGGTACACAAATTAGGACATGTACGAAAGAAACTGATGCCTGCTTCTCCTTTAGCAGTAGAAACATGACTAATACAAGAAAATTGAAAGGACAAAGAAATATAAAGAATGAGTAAATCAACACATTATTGTTTAATCCCCTCAATTCAAAAGACTAAGAAAAAGGGTGGCACAAAAGATAAGAGGGATGATCTGCACCTGGTTGTTGAATGATACAAGTTCATAAGCTTCATATGATAGCTGTTGTCTGGCTTAGCCATGTCCATGTTTCTTTGGAGATTCCCTGCATATTAGAAGATAATGCAAAAAGAATTGAGCTAGCAAGAAGCAATAACTTAACTTTTTAAGTAGTTCAGTACCAAAAGCAACTGCCATGATCATCGTCAACACATCCATCACGTAAAATATACTACGCCATAGATCAATTATACCTCCTTCAGTGTCTTTGAGATAAATTAAAAAATATGCCTTCAATCCATAAATAAAAATGATGCCATCAGTGTCACCTTTCCAAACCTGGAGGAGTTCCTCGTTGACAGATGAACCAGCTACATTTCTTATGGCTTCATCTACTGTGCTGAGAGGAGCAGTCTTCATGGCCTGAATTATACTGTATATAGGTTTTCCATTCTCCAAATATATGTGATTATTAGGGTGCCTTGTTTTTCCACCAGCATGTTCCTCAAACTCGTGAGCACGGAGAATCTGAATGCATCATTCAACCATTAGGCAAGTGTAGAAATTTTCAATACTAATAATAAAACCATTTTGGATACACATGCGAAACTTACATTAGAAAAATTGCATGTTGCACAACCACATAGATAGCCACAATCCTTGACAATTCCAATAAGCTCCCCCTGGTTTTATGGATGTTGATATACAAGTTCCAATTTCTGTTACGATAGATATTTTTGCTGAAAATGTTAAGTAAATAGAGATGCAACTTACCGATGCAGAAATATATTTCACTTTTGCTCCCTCAAGTATCCCGGTTGATAAGAGCCTTTTAACAGTTGTCGGATAACTGTCAGGTATAACCTTCCCAGGCATCACTTCACCAGGTTCATGCAACCCTTGCTCACTGATATGAGTTAACCTGGGTCCCTTACGAGTCGGATTATCAAAAGCTTCGCTCATGCACTTCGCAGCAGAAGCAGACAATTGACTACCATAGTCTTCCTTCCGTTTGCTGAATTTGAATGTAATTTTCCTAATACCAGAAGAAGTACTGGCATGCTTTGGAACCTCAAGTATAACATGTGACGTTGACACAGTACCAGATGTATCATTGGTACCATGCTCCTCTTGACTCGAGCTCCCCTCACTGCTAGAATCTCCAGAACAAGCCGATGTAATTTCACCACAAACAACTTGGTCTTTCATGACTACCTTCCCATCTGATTGGCTATTAACAGTCTGAAAGCTCGAAGAATTATCGCGAGGTGACACATTGGGGTTTGAAACCTCAGAACATATATCATCATTCGAAGCCTCCTTCACCTCCTTCTTGGTGCAAGGATCTGTCACTATCTCATTGTGACACACCTTCTCAACTGATAGCTCTAGATCAATATCATTTAAGGCCTCTGTTGTCAGCTTCACAACAGAAAGTTCTATTCCAGTACTATCTAAAGCTTGTGTTGTCTGCTTCACAACAGAAAGTTCTATTCCAGTACTATCTAAAACTTGTGTTGTCTGCTTCCTTCCACAAACCTCTAATTCCATCTCATGCATAGATTCTTTGACAGGTTGCTGAACAGAAAGCTCTTGTTCACTCTCATTCAAAGCCTCTGCTGGTTGCATATTGCCACAAGCCTCCAGCTCTGTCTCACTCGGACATTCTTTGACAGGCTGAAGAAGAGAAGGCTCTGGTTCAATGTCACTTCTAGCCCCTGTTGTCTGCATCCTACCACAAGGATCTAGGTCAATATCACTTCCAGCCCCTGTTCCCTGCATCCTACCATGAGACTCTAGTTCCATCTCATTCAAACACTCCTTGACAGGCTGCACAACAATTGGCTCTATTTCTATGTCATTTAGAACCTTTGATGGGAGCCTTTCCCCACAAGGATCTACTTCCATGGCACATGGATCTTCTTTAACAGGCTGCTCATCGCAAGGATTTACACCGATATAATTTAAACTCTCTATTGCCTGCGTCCTTTCACAATTCGGTTGTTTTGTTGCATTCAAACATTGTTGCACAGGGTCCTTGACAAAAGTGTTTGGTTTAATATCTTTTAGAGCTTCTGGTGTTTGCATTCTACCACAAGGCTCTAGTTCTAACCCATCTGAACATTCGTTCATATTCTGCTCCACACAAGGCTCTGGTTTAATATCATTTGAACCCTCTATGGGAAGTCTTTTGACACAAGGATCGTGTTCAATAGAAACCTGGGCCACCTCTGACAGATCCCTAGCACAGGAATCTCCTTCATCAACTGAACCCTCTTTCGCCTGTTTCTTGGCCAAGGGTTCCACATCAGAGCCAGCAGTTAGCCACTGATGGTCACGCTTTTGCTGAATTTTCTCATTTTCCATTTCCCCAACATTACTCACCACCGCCACACAGACCTCCCCTTCTCCCATCAAAACGTAACCCTCTACAAGTTCAATAACTAACACTTATCAAGAAATTCACAATGCATAACAGCATTCTAAGTGGAAATAAATAACTATGCAAACCAATTAACACAACAAAAACCCTAATTTCTGAATTAGGAATTAAAACCCTCACTGATACTCTCTCAAACAACTGAATTACGATATTCAATCTCTAATACCAATTATACAACAATCCAACACACTCCTCTAGGAGGAAAAAGGTTACGGATAATCAACTTCTGATCAACTCAAATGCGTCGATTTTTTCGAATTCCGTTATTCAATTTCACATAAATCCCTCAAAATCCGATTCTAACCAACCTCTTCCAAGCTAAATAGACGAATCTGAAAATATACCGCAAGACACTGACTCGCAGTATTAATCCCCCAAAAGACTTTTCATGCATCCACGTATCTGTATTACATATATACACGTATAGATCTGGGATCAAATTTGCAAAATATCAAGAAGCAAACTAACCGTGAAAGATCAAATTTCAAAAATTAGGGTTTTTTCTTGTTCTATCTTTCAATCTTCATCTCCTCTTTGCATATCCCCCATGAAAGACGACGAATAGAGCGGCAACGAACGAAACTGAAATTTTGTTCGCGGGAGTAAGAAAAGTCGTGAGACATGGAAGGCACGAGAAGAGGGGTTGTAGGGGATGATAGGGTAAAAGCGATATGAGTGGGTCCCATATACATCTAACTTATAACAAGCTACCACGTGGTAACCATAAAGGATTTGATCCTATTACGATGGCAATTAACGGTTTCGATTTTGACACGTAGCAGTCGTAGCCTATCATCTTATGTACCACTAGCATGAGAAAATATTTTCATCATCATTTTAGGTGGATAGAGTAGTGTTTTATTGCTCTGTATATCTTACCAAAAATAGTTTTAAGAGAGAACGTATTTATTAAAAATTTAAACAATAATAATTATAACAATTGCATTTCTGTGTTATTTTTGTATTTATGCAATAGTGTAATGACTAATTTTGTCATTAAAATATTTATCAGACTAGCGCTTACCGAACTTGTCGGATAATCTTACCCAGTGAAGGTGAAAATTCTTATATGATTAGTGCTTATCAGATAAGCGACATTTACCAACAATTCTGTTTTATGACCAGAAATGTTACATAAAGGTAAATAAGAGTGATAACTTTTGTTGGTAAACGGACTTTGAGGTGCCGTTTACCAAACGCTTATCCGGATAAGCGCTTACCAAGTCACATTAACTTACTTGATAAATATGGTAAGGACCAAAAATCTTACCCAATAAGAGCAAGGCAAGAACCAAGAGTTTTACCCAGTAAGTGAGAATGAGGACTCTTACCACGATTAGCTCTTACCGGGTAAATTGTTGCATACGATGCCATTTTTGTTGACTAAAATCTTACCCGGTAAGTAAGTGATTATATTGAATTTCACTGATAAGCGCTTACCGGATAAGTATGTAGTAAATTGTTGCATATGATATCATTTTTGTTGACTAAAAGCCGCAAAATTGAACTCAAGAGATCATGTAAGGTATGGTTTCAATGGAATGTTGTTTACAAATAAATCAACATTATCTTTGTGAACTATGGAAAAAGTCTACTTGATTTTTTACTTTTACAGAATAATAATAAATGTTGGGTTCCGGTAAAAATGAAAGTTATAGTGAGAAATGTGATACATAATTTCCACTATTTAATCAATCATAATTGAAGATAATCATTAGATCAACACTAACGAGATGCTCCATGCCAATTTCCTTTCAAAAGGCAATTAATGAGTTGTTTTGGGATTAAAAGTAATCAATAGTGCAAATCGCTTCTCACTTTAACTTCTATCATCATATGACATCCTTCCTCTCAAACTGTATTATTAAAATTGTAACATACTTTTTTTATTTAAAATAATAATAATAAAGTGATATACATCACATGCAAATGTATGAGATTTCTAACGGTTTCTATTTATAAAAATATAACGCTTTTAATTAAAACAAAGCACAATATTTACATTTCTTCCGTTATGGAAAACATTAAAATTATCCAATATAAAACAAACTACATGGTTGTCATATCAATAATCTATTTTTAAATGTGAAAGATCTTGTTGGTAATTATACTGTTATAGGAACAAAATATCAAACGAACTCAGTTATCATGTACAACTGATTTATGTATGTACATGTATATGTACATGTATATGTACATGTATATGTATGTGTATATGTATATGTATATGTATTTTTTGATTAAAACATGTATTTGAAAAATACAAGGTAATACATAAGTAATTATATAACAATTCATAAAAATAAATGCACTGACAAATTATTTCAATTTATAAAGCATATTATTGATGGGTGAAATTAAAGTAGGTCATAAATTAGTTAAATTACAAATCATATGAAATCATTAAATGTTGACATTAAAAGTTTAACCAAGTGAACGTGTAATGCTATGACTCGATTTTGAGAGACAAATCACCCTGTTGAAACCTAACAACGGATTTCATTTATGATTTTACATCAACCAATCAACCAATTTGTACGATTTTAACTTGTAGAATATAAATTCTTAAATGAACAAATAACTACTAAGTGTTAAAAGGGTCTAGTTAACAACGGAATATCAAGGTCAGCCCATGACCAATATGGTCTGATCAAGGCCCGAAATGAACTTTAAAAAATTATAAAACAAAGGGAAAAATCAAGAAAAATTCAACCAACTTTCTAACTTCAAGCGATAAAGTTAATGAACAGTTCTTTTTTGAAGTTCATGAACTTTCTAAAATCGATACATGTATTTCTTATACATGTGAGAAGGTTAATATGGTAAAATCATGGGAAAATTATGAAAAAAATCCAAACTGACATTAATATTTCGAGTAAATTAGTACTTGAATAGTGTTTAACGAATAAAATCCATGGACTTTCTAAAACCAGCTAAATAGAAGAAGTAAAATATAAAGAACGTGATATTTCTATTAGCTATTTTAAATAATACAAACCCTATGCCCAAAACATAAAAAAATATTATACAAAAAATTGTGCTCAAAGCATAAATGGATGCATATAAAAGTTGTGCAACATACCAACAAGAGATTGCATAACTTCAAAGGTACAAGTAGCAAAAAAGGGTGTTAGACCGGATAAAAGGGGTTTGGGGTCATCAAGAGGGATGTAGGATGGGCGTGCGATCGATGGTCAAGGGTGAGACAATTTTCAGTTTCGTCATATGGTTTACAAATTTCTCACACACACATATATGTATATTATTAATAAAAGTTTACTGTATATAAAAAATTAATTATATAATTCATAGGTTTTTAAAGTAAATGAAATAAAAAGGGAGAAAGACCTAAATCCCTCTCACTTAATATTAACAGTTGTTAGTGAGACGGATCAAAACCAAGTGTTTTTGGATACCAAATGTTTTTTTTTACAGTAACTTTATAGTAAAAATCCAAAAAAATCAATAAACCACTGGGACAAGAAAATACAATTTGGGGTCGTTTATCAAACACTTACCCGGTAAATGCTTACCGGTAAAGTTTACACTATCATTTACTTACCGGGTAAGATTTTAGTCTATCGAAACGGTATCGTATGCAACAATTTACCCGATAAGCGTTTACCATGATAGGAGTCACCGCCCTCACTTACCGGGTAAGACTCTTTGTTCTTGTCTCGCTCTTACCGGCTAAGATTCTTGGTTCTTACTATATTTAATCAATAAGATAATATGACTTGGTGTTCACTTATCCAAAACGACTCATTAATGTTGATAAACTAATTAATTTATGATGAAACTATCAAAACTAAACTTATGCCGTAAGTAACTCGACCTCAAATTGCAGCATCCACGAAGGCGCACGATTTACACTCGCATTAATGCTGTTTGCCGTATTTTGTGGAAGACAATCTCCATTCTCATGTATTTGTTCAAGTTCCCAAATTTCAGTTTTATTTAATAATAAATACGTCATTATTTTTATAAAAATTTGAAATATTTTTTTTTCCCAATTTAAGATTATATTTATTAAATATTATGAAATGATCTTTAGCATTTGTCTTATATTCCAAAGGTTTGCGCAACACGAAAAGGTTCATGGGAAATAGCAACCATTATGTAAAAGTGTTACGTAATCAAGTTTTAGAGGTTTTTTTTAAATATTTTTTGAATTTTATTTTAATATATTTGTCGATGACTGTTAAATCTAATATCTACTTTAAACTAATTATACTTTTGATCGTTGGTTGCTATTTTATATCGCTTTTGCTTCTTGTGGCTAACGGTGTTACCAAGATCCGTTAGGTCCATGTTTGTTCGTTATTTTCTCAGTTATTTAATTTTATATTAGCAAATCGAACAAAATTGTTATTATATTACATATACCGACCCCACCCTTTTTCTTATCCAACGATAACCTCATTGGCTACCATGGTTTCATTGGTCCCATCACTTGCTATCTCCGCCCTTCTATAACTCCAACCTCTACCCTAGATCTGGGTTTTTTAATAGTCTAACAGCATTTTCGGTGCCCCTTTTCTACACACGTACAATTTCATGTGCCCATTCCCCTTGCACACATACCTTTTCCGCCTCCCCTTCCTTTCACACACTGTAACTATTGTGACCCTTAATTGATGAGGAGATTTTAGCATAGTAGACTATTATGATTTGACGACTGCCTTAAATGATGTTTCGTGCATTCTAAATAATATGAGATCCTTATATCTTTTGATCTGACATATCGTTCATGAAATTAATATTTTACTTGTAAACTGACAAAACATATTCATATGTTTGTGAATGAAAAAGAGAACAATTTGTTAGCTTGAAGCATAAACATATTTTTTGGTTTCTAGTGATTTGGTATAGTAAACGCAGAAGGTTATGTAACAAATATAGAGAGAGAGAGAGAGAGAGAAAGAGAGAGATCTAGAGAGAGAATGTGGGGGTGTACGTTTCACATGGGTGATGAAATGATGGTGGCGTCCCTCGTGGAGAAATAAGCAATAACCAAAGAGAATCAAAGAAAAGAGAAAATAAGAGGAATTAAAATATTAGATATCATTTGTTTTTTAAGAGATGCTGAAGTCTGAATGCTGATTTCACTTATGATTATAAGAGGTGACTCTGAAGTCTGAAAGCTGTATCAATAAAATTGTTTTGTTTTTACGTCTGAAGTCTGAAATCTGAATCAGTCAAACTAGTGCAAAAATATAAAAGATAAATAGTTTTTAACAAATGTATAAAAGATAAATAGTTTTTGATAACAAATCTCTTTCAATCCCCAAAATAAGAACCATTTGATTGAGGGCATATTAGGATTAAGAGGTATTAAGGGATACGTTTACCACTTAAATATAAGATGACATTTAGAGCTTTTAAGCTCTTATTTAGAAATAAAACAAACGCTCCTAATATCCAAGCGTCTGAACGAATCAGACTTCAGAGGTATTAAGAGGTAATTTTGAAAAAAAAACAAACAAATAGACCCTTAGTTTACCTCTTATTTATTTAGACCTTATTAAGTGATAAGAGACTCTGGAAAAAAAAAAAGAACAAATAGTCTGAATTAAAAAACAACTGAACAAATCAGACATAAATAG